AGGGGTGGAGGAATCGAACTCGGGTTGGCTGAGTGCAGGCAAACGCCCTACCCTCTATGCTATCGCTCCAGCCCCCTTGGTGGGTAATTCCCATTATCCAAGCTCACCAGCCTGACTGTGCCTCATCTGCCCTGACTGAAAAGAATCGTGTCACTCACTTGTTTTCTCAACTACTTTCATGAACAAACTGCAGCCAGCACGTCTGTGGGGTGAACTGGCTGTGTTCTCAGAACACGTTCCCAGCACTCTGAGGCTTGCCAATGTGGTGGCATCCCTACTTGGCACTGGGGGTGTAGTGATGGACAGGAACCAACAGGAGTCCAAGAGGCAGTTTGCCCACCGTTATGAATCTTATGAATGACACAGGTGTTAAAAAAAAAAGTTCTGGAACGAGAGTAATAATAATACAGCAGGTAGGACTCTAGCTCTGCATGCAGTTGACCCGGGTTCGATCCCAGGGACCCATACGGTTCCTGGAGCTGCACAGGCCCAGGGGTGGGTGGGAGAGTAGGCTGGGAACAGCAGCAAGAGCTCATCTCAACTGACGAGCTTGACTTCCAGAATAAATTATGAGAGAAAGAGGAGTCTAGAAAGAACGCAAGGCCGGAAACGACAGGCACACCGAATCTCACGTGGGACCCGAGACCAGGCCCCTCTTCACACACACGTCTCTGGATGTAAAGGAGACAATGGGACCTGAATGCCACCAGGCCACCAAGTCCTTCTCACAACATGGGCACTGCCCAGCAAATCCACATGGGAACCCAGCGTTGGGCGTTACAAAAGGCCTTCACAACGATTACAAGTTTTGCACGAATAAAATGGATGTTTCTACAGATTAAAAAACAGGCCACAAAGGCATCATTTACATAAGCTCATTTGGAGGGGCACGATCTGCATCAAGTAAAATGTACATTCACTGCAATTAAGATGGATTTAACGGGAGCCTCTACCCTGAATCCGAGAGGCTGGGCGAACAGGAAATGAGCTACGCAAGGCAATGCTAAACACTCTGACTTGACAATCCAGTCATCACATTCCGCAACGAGTGGAAAACACTTGATTCCATAAAAACCTGAATATAAATGTGTGCAGCAGCGGGTTTATTTACTCGCAGCTGCCCAAGCTGGAAGCAAGCATAGTAGACGGAGAAACGGGTGATGAGATGCCCATCCAGGGGGAGTAACCAAGGCTCTGCCTTCTAGAATGAGGAGGAAATGATAGGATGGCGCTTGGTGTAAGGAGTCGGTCTGGAAAGGCTGCATACGGTAGTGGATCTGGTTATGATGCCAATCCTCCCACTTCCTGGCATAACTCTGGGCGGTGGGAAGATGAACGGATGCCAGGGGTGTGTGAGGAAGGAGGGGTTCGAGGGGCACAGTGGATGCTTGGGGGGGGGGGGCAAGCAGCTTTGTTAGTGCCAGGTGTTTATTGGTGATGACACAGGAGGGGCTGGGGGCCTCAGAGCCAGCGCTCAGCTTGTGTGAGGCGAGTTCAGACCCCCAGAACTATGCAGCCTGCAGAGAAGTAACCACTAAGGTAAAGTCGGGACTTCATTGTAACAACCTGGATCCATTGGTTGTAACAAATGTTTGTACCGTTTGTTCTCTGAAGTAATATGAAATCCGCTGCCCCTAGTTCCTCGCTCTTGGCAATCCCGAGAGATAGAGCCGGGGCTAAAAGCACTGTGGTGAACTCAGGTTAGATCCCTGAGCACTGCCGAGGGCAGAGCCAGGAACGGTCCCTGATACTCCCCCCACCCCAAGTGTGACCCCACCCCTAGCCCCAATATCCATCATCTTGTGTCATGGAGATGCCCTGGAAGCAATGTGAAACTGTCACAGCAAAACCTGTTGAACTCTACGTTTTAGTGTGTAGAGCTCTATAGTTTTGGAGGGGGCCATGAGGCAGTGCAGAGGCCACTCCTGGTGGTGTTCAGGAGACCATCTGGGATGCTGGGGTAGGGGCTGGAGCCATACTACACAGGCAGGGAGCTTGCCTTGCTCACAAGCATCCTGGGTTTAACCCCAGCACCTATATGGCCCCCTGAGCACCACCAGGAGTGGTCCCTGAGTGCAGAGAGAGGAGTATGCCCTGAGCACTGCTGGGTGCAGCTAAAAATTCAAATTAAAAAAAGTGCTGGGGAATCCAGCCACCAAACCCTGATTCAATCTTGAGCACCTCATGGGTCTCCCTCTCCCAAGCATTGTTAGATGTAGCCCCAGGGGCCCCCCAAGAACCATGAAGGTAGCCCAGAGAGCCTCTGGCCCCGTAGGTCCTAAGCAGCATTGCTCTGCTGGGCACTGGCATTGACCATTAGCAGGATCAGCTGTGAATCGCCCGGAACCTCCTGGGCACTGCCTGGGAGCCCCAAGAGGAAGGAGAAGGAGACAGAACGAAGATCTGGCATTTCTAACTAGAAGCTCACGTGGAGACCACACAAAAATGTTTGGAAATGACTGAAGACATGACCTCCTAGATTGAGGAAGCCGAATGTCAACCAGGTAGGGTAAAAAATTCAAACATTTATTGTCATAACATAAAGAACATGATATTAAAGGGATTTTTTAAAATGGCGAGACACATCCCCTACAGCAGAAAACCAGCTGGACAATGAAGTCTGCTCCCTGGACAGGGAGCCAGAGTTGAGGGGGTGATAAGGCAGTTCATTAATATTAAGGTGCCGTTAATTCTAAGTCACAATGTTAAACATAACACCAGGGGCTGGAGCAATAGCACAGCGGGTGGGGCGTTTGCCTTGCACGCAGCCAACTCGGGTTCGATTCCCAGCATCCAATATGGCCCCCTGAGCATTGCCAGGGGTAATTTCTGAGTGCAGAGCCAGGAGTAACCCCTGTGCATCGCCGAGTGTGACCCAAAAAGACAAAAAAAAAAAACCCAAACCAAAATAAAACAAAAAAAGTAACACCAACTCAGAGGTGGAAGGTGTCAACACGGCTGACTTATGAGGAAGGTAGGGAAAGGAAGTGACAATCTCCTGGTCTCCAGCTGTCTTCTAGGGCACGTCTGTACAAACGAGGAGAATGTCTCAGAATTCTGACACACGTGAAAGCATGTCAGCCAGGGAGGAACTGGTGAGAATGTTAGTGTTCTCCAAGACTATTCGAGAAGGGGCAACACCCGCTAACTTCTCATGCTACTGGAGACATGCTGAGGAAGGACTTAAACACACAAGCAACACACCCCACACGCAGCTTCCAAATGGGCACAGGGGGCCACGTGAAATCAAACCCGGAATAACCATCAAGACAGGAGGAGAAAGCAGTATGAGAGTGACAAATAGTGCACACTAGTACCAGAAAGGGGAGTTTTTGTCCCTTAGGAATCACAATAAACATAAACGGAAAGACGGGAAAGCAAAAATTTAAACGTCTAGGTTTATTGGGCTTCTGAGACCAATTGAAACATAAACAACAGAAAGGTTAAAGAACTGGAATATCTATGCCACTAAAAACTAAAATACAGAGGTTGCTATGTTGGTCTTTACAAGAAACTTTTTTTTTGGGGGGGGAGGGGGGAGGGAAATGGGGTCACTCACACCCAGCTCTGGGCTCAGGGCTCACTCCGGGAGGTGCCCAGGGATCTAAACAAGGTCAGCACACGCAAGGCCAGCCCCTTGGCCACTGTGTTCACAATGGCTGAAACACTCTCACTCAATACCATACTGCAAGTCACAGGCCACCTGTCCACCCCCAGGTGGACTCCTATTGAACTTACCAGCCTCCTTTTTTTTTTTTTTGGCCTCAGAACAGGCAGCACTTAACACCACTTGACTATTCCTTTATCTTTCTCTCTTTTGGTTACCTCCCCTGCCCACAGCTTAAATGTAAGCAGCAGAAGGCAAGAATTTTGCCTGTGAGTGGTCATACCCAGCAGTGCTCAAGGGCTTACTCCCGGACTGGTACTCAGAAATCAAACCAGGGGTGAGCAAAAGACATGGCAAGTGCCTTGACCCCTGTTTCATCTCTCCAGGCCCTGGAGGGCAAGCCTTTGGGCTTGCTTTGCAGACTGTAGTTTATCCAGCACCCAGTGGCATAACCAGCGCGAGGCTAGCACTCAATGAGTAAAAACAAAGTTACATCTAGTGGCTGGGGAGATGGGCAAATTGTAGAGCAGACACATACTGAGCATGCGCACCTGTCCCCGGGGAACCACTGGGTGCGGTCCTGATGCCCGGGAGCAGCAGTGGCCTGCACTGGCCTGGCCAGCTAAGAGGTCCTACTTTGCCCCCAGCACTGCCGGATGTGACCCCTTTGAGAAAAAAAGTCACAACTAGAAAGATTTGTAATAAGGTGACTTTCCCCCCATCTTTTTAGGCTTAAGTGTGTACTGCCAATTTTGTGTGATTTTCAATAATGCACATAAAAGTACTGGACCATGTTGTAATAAGCCATTTTTTATATTTAAAAATTTTTAATGTGTTCACACTAAGGCACTTGCTTTGGACGCAGCCAACCCAACTTTGATCCCTGGCACCTTTTGGTGCCCTGAGCACCACGAGGGGTCACTCCTGAAGTCTTTCATTCATCTGTAAGCAAAATCACTCTCCATACCACCAACACCAATGTGTGAAACATAAAATATTGCCCAAGTGATTTCATTGCTTCTGCAAAATTGAAAAAAAAAAAAAAGGTCATGGGTTTGGGCTTTTGTAAAGTTGATTTTATTAAACTGATGTGACCATTCTTTATACTGAATTATATTCTTCCTACTTTGGGGGTGCTAAATTTCTTTTGTGATTCTGCTAAGAGCAGATGATCACACTTTAGTGCTTCCAGTTTCACTTTTGTCTGACGGATTAAAAGCCAGAAGCACGGAATCAATTGGGGGGACGGGGGATGGGGGACCCAACTGGCTGTTTTGAAAACTCAGAGCCTGGGAACCACACAGCCTAGTGTGTATTTTAAAGTCCCGAGTCACTATTTCTCAGAAACTTCCCCTAAATACTCTGCAGGATAAAAAAAAGTCTCAAGCCAGTATAAAAAACAAAAATGGCTTTAATTTCAAGCACCAAGGAATTATATTTTCAGTCAACATCATGGCTAGATGATGTTTTCTTAAAACAAATCCTAGTGGGGTGCAGAGAGCACAGACTGGAGTGGAGAATGACTCCTCGCTGCTGTCCTGGCGTGGGATGAAATGAAAGGTTGCTATACAGACCACTTTGCTGGGACAGGATGTTCATGGGATCACATGTGGCTACTTGGCTCAAGGCAGACTTGGTCCATGGACTTCCACCAATCACACCAGTTAGGCTTTCCAAAGCTGTAGACATTTCTTTATTTGGTTTTGGGTCACACCCAGCGATGCTCAGGACTTACTCCTGGTGCTGCGGCCAGGGATCACTCTTGGGAGGCGGGGCGGACCGTAGGGGGTCCTGGGGAATTAAGCCTGGATCTGCAAGGCAAGCGCCCTGCCACTGTACTATTGCTCCAGCCTGAGTTACACACATATAAATGAAAAAGAAACACGCATAAAGAAAAGTATGTTTTACCTTGTGCATGAAAATCCCGCCCCGCATTTCAGAAATCGTGTTTACATCCCCAGCTACCACGGAGAAAGAGACGTCTATAATGTACAAGCTGGGATGCGGGTATAGACACCCTGGCCGAGAGCTCGCAAACGGCAGCTGACCCTGACCCAGGAGAATCAACCTCCTCAAAGGGTCCCGAAGAAGAGTGGCTGGATGTCACTCTGCTAAGTTTCCTTAGAGATGATGCTCCTTTGGCCTGCGGGGCAGCTGGAACGGTTCGTCCCAGTGTCAAGACCCTTCCCTCTGACGGTTTGCGAGAATCCTGTCCCCTTCTACCAAGCTGCTCCTGCTTCCCATCAAGCTCTTAGAGCCATTTCACTCAGCCCAATCAAACTTCAAAGTAACTCCAGAGCATGTGTGGGAAGCACCTGAAAAGAACCCCTGCGTTCCTGCTCATTCTGACAACGTTCGGCCTTATTAGTAACTATGAAAATGCGTGACAGTGATGGAGACTGGGGTGGGGGTGGGGTAGGGCGGGGGGGAGGGGCAGGGGCCGGTGGAAGCATCTGGTCACATGCCTCCGTGCTGCGATGGCAGCTCAGTTCTTCTTGCTTTTCTTCAGATAGCGGGCTTTCACAGACTTGTTCATATCCATGGTTATTTTGTAATACAGCCAGGAAGGCAGCATGGATATCACGGCCCCCTGAGGAAAGACATGAGGAGAGAGGATGGTCAGAGCTTCCAGCATGCGGCCCCATCCTGCTTCACTCCTGTGTGGTGCTCAGGCAGACTATAAGAGTTCTGGGGGGGATACAGTTTAGGGCAGAACACAGATGCCGTCTGCGTATGGCCAGGGGCAGCAGAAACACCGACGTGTCTCAGGCTACTGGGAAAGAGACCCCTTGCTGGCCGTCACCCACCCCTGGCCGTGGATGCAGTGTCCCCTGAGCTTTGCAGTGCTTTGCCCAGAGACTGCCAAGGTCCTGTAAGGCCCTGCTCCTTTTTTTCCCTTTTCTTTTTGAGTGGGAAGGAGTTTGGGGCCATATACAGCAGCGCTTAGAGGCTATTCCTGGCTCTGTGCTCAGGAGCCACCCCTGATGGTGCTGGGGGCGAGGGGGACCATATGTGGTGCCAGAGATTGATTCGGGGTCAGAAGGATGCAAGGCAAAGGGCCTTCCCTGCTGTACCATCTCTCTGGCTGCAGAACAATTTCTTTTTTTTTTTTGGGGGGGGGAAGGGGACACAACCGGCGATGCGCAGGGGTTACTCCTGGTGGTTCTCAGGAGACTATATGGGATGCTGGGGTTTGAACCCAGGTCAGCTGGATGCAAGGCAAACACCCTACCCGCTGTCCTAATGCTCTGGCCCCAGAACACAGTTTCTTAAACTCTGTGTAAGACCCATATGGGGTAGGGAAACTAACTGCCAATCATAATATATATATATATATATATGTATGTATATATATGTATATGTATATATATGGGCTGGAACGATAGCACAGCGGGTAGGGCGTTTGCCTTGCAAGTGGCCAACATGGCTGACCCAAGTTCAATTCCTCTGTCCCTCTCAGAGAGCCTGGCAAGGTACCAAGAGTATCTCGCCCACACGGCAAAGCCTGGCAAGCTACCCGTGACGTATTCGATATGCCAAACACAGTAACAGCTGTCACAATGGAGACGTTACTGGGCCCGCTCAAGCAAATTGATGAACAACGGGAGGACAGTGACAGTGATATATATATAATCTAAGGCTTATTAATGCTTGATGTTGAATGCCTATCTTGAATAGTTGGGTCATAAAGAAATGCTTTAGGTGAAAGGAGAGTGACTGGAAGGAAAGTGTAAGCTCTGGTGCGGGCCACCACTCTCCTTCACGCTGGCCTTTCTCCTCTCATTCTCTGTGGAGAGCCCCCACTCTCCTCAGAACTCGCCTCCTCTTCCAGTGACCCACGCAGACCAATGCTCCTACCATGAGGGAGTGGATCGGGTAGCCGTTGGTCCGGGACTGCAGGCCCACCGTCTTCATTGCAGACTTCACGTACGTTCCGGAAGAAGGCTTATCCAAAGTGGGTTTTCGGATTTTCGCCAGTTTTGTGGCCACGTAGAAAGGCAGGACGCTCTGGAAAGAGAACACAGCCGTGGTGAGGATGGCACCGGCACAGTCTGGGGAAGGGAAGCGTGGATCTCCCGAGAGAAGAAAAGAAAAGCTGTCATCTGAACAGCAGCTGGACAGGACACAGGGCAGCGTGAAACAAACAAGGTAAGTCACAGAAGCATAATCTGTCTTCAGAGAAGCCGAGATAGATCTTCTGTTTTTTTTTTTGCTTCTTCTTTTTTTTTTTTTTAAAGGGAAACACGGGGGCTGGAGCGATAGCACAGTGGATAGGGCGTTTGCCTTGAACGTGGCCAATCCAGGTTCGATTCCCAGCATCCCATAGGGTCCCCCGAGCACCGCTAGGAGTCATTCCCGAGTACAGAGACAGGACTAACCCCTGTGCATCACTGGGTGTGACTCCCCCCCCCCCAAAAGGAAGTCATAAAACAAATCTAGAGAGCAGAAACTCCTGTGAGGATGTTCTTTCTACCCTGACTAAACTGCTGCATGACATAGGGTGTGTGTATGTGTGCGTGTGTGTGAGACAGAGAGAATGTGAGGTAAAGTGTGTGTGTAAGAGAATGTGTGTGTGTGTGTGTGTGTGTGTGTGTGTGAGAGAGAGAGAGAGAGAGAGAGAGAGAGAGAGAGACTCTTTCTCTGTGTAGTATTCTTTCTATCATGGTTAAGCTGAATGTACACAGGTAGGTGTGTCTGTGATCAAACCTTCGGCCCCTAAGTTAAGCAATGTTAATAGAAACATGAAGCAGGAGACTTCTGGGCTTTGGATCCCCTAAAGGATACACATGTTCTCCACGATACATGACCAAAGAAGCTTCCTCTACCTGCCTGGGTCCCTCTAAAACTAAGGCTTCCGGGCTGATGCTGGTCCTGCACAGTCCCGAGAGCACCAGCAGGGATATCTACCCCTGGCGGCCTCCAGAACTGCCCATCAAGGTGCACAGCCAGGCAGGAGGTCAGAGCGGCACCAGGGCACAACTTGGGAAGTGTTCCCCCCGCCCCCCCACAGGTCCCCTCCTCCACCAGATCATCGAATAAAACATTTCACCTTCCCAGCCACGGCGACTGTGTCGCTTCCCCATTCTCTCCCCACTCTGCTTCTGCACTCAGTCACTTTTGCTACTGGGGAGGGAGGGCCGCGCCTCTCCTCCTCCTCCTCGTCTCTGTGTGGGGTGACAGTGACAAGACTGGAGCGGTATGACAGAACCGAACAGCAGCTGACCGGAGGGAGTGACCACCACCGCCTGGGCAACATTTTGCTCTCTGCATTGCATTTGACTCAACACACAATGTAAGGAATTCCCGGGCCATCAGCTCCCGAATTCTTAGTCCCGAGGGCCAGCGGGGCCCTGGATTTGTCAGGGTCCCCTTGGGCATGAGATCCACCCAACAGTGGATGGAGCTGGCCTCCCCCAATGTGGGAAAGGACAGGGTATGAGTGATGAGCGGTCCCAAGTAGCAGCCTCCAGGAGTAGGTGAAGACTTCGTGTTATGGTCAAGTCCCCGGGCTATCGACTGCGCCCCGCTCTCAAGCATGAGCCATGGAATCCAAAGAAAACTTCAGCCCGCCGCTGGGACTAAAACCCCAGGAACACTATTCCTCCGTACCTTTCTCTTAGAGCCCACAGCCACGGAGTAACTAAGTGACTAAGTTTCCCGGAGTACTTTCACAGCAGGCTAACTGTCATTAACGTTTGGAGAATTTTTTTAAACGGGTTTTACACTTGTCCCTTATTTAATGAGAACTTTTGGGGAGGGGGGAATGGGGAAGGGGAGAGAAAGGAGAGTGTGTCAGTAAGTCTTTTATTTTTATTTTGTATTTGAGCCACATCTAGAAGTGCAAAGGGCTTGGCCCAAGCTCTGTGCTAGGGGTCACTCCTGGTGGGCTTGGGGATTGAACCTGGGTCAGTCGCATACAAGGCAAATGTCTGATCCATTGTCTTATTTCTCTGGTCCCAGGAGAGTCAAGATTTGAGCTTCTCAAATGTAGTCTAATCATTCTACCCTCCAATTACATAATTATAATTCTCCCTTCCTCAATAAATAGATGGAATAAATTGGACCATTTTGATTTTTTTTTGGGGGGGGTCATACCTGAAGATGCACAAGGGTTACTCCTGGCGGTGGTCGGGGGACCATACGGGATGCTGGGAACTGAACCCGCTGTGCCATCGCTCCAGCCCCACCATTTTGATTCTGGAGCACAGAATTTCAAGGGAGCTTCCAAGAGATCCAAGGGTGAAAACAGGGTGAGGGGGCATGGCAGAAGACCAGGGAGTCAACCAGAAGGATGGAGTTCTGGGGGAGTCGGGTGACAGATCCAAAGGCAGAAGAGGGCTGAGGCATGTGGAAGAATCCAGTTGCACTGTCCATGTGAACCACTTGGTGGCGCCGTAAGACAACTCATCACTAAGCCACGTTCCAAGAGTCCCAGAGAACCCCACTGGCTCTGAACAGGTCCGAGGACAGGAGATCTGCAGGAATGCCAAGGCAAGGTGCCTCTTTCTGACTCTTTCTGACTGAAACCTCCACTTATTCTGAAAAAGGGCACTTACTGCCTTTCTGAACAGTTAAGTAAAAGCAGCTATCAGGCTCTGTGAGTTAGGACAGGCTGGGGCTCGGGGACGAGAGGCAGGAGCAAAGTTCGCGCTGCCCTGCAGAGTGACAGAGCTGAGGTGTGAGATCAGGAGGAGCAAAGACAAAGGGCTGGGGAGCACAGTGCTCTCAGGGGACACACAGGGTCTGTGTGGTCAAACTGAGGGAGCAGGGAGACTCAGCATGAGCTCAATCATCCCCAGACCACATGGTTGATGAAGACATGGCCCATCTGTCACAACATTGACCCTGCTGTCAGTGCTCAGTACAGTCCCGGGGCCTCGCAGGTCCAGGAGACCTCCCGAGGAATAAGGAACAGAAAACGCCCTGAAGAATGGCGCTGGGTTTGGTTCTATGCGACAAGGACCTGAACCCGGGACCCTCACATGTATTTTTCACTATCACATCCCTGGTCCAGAGTTTTTCCTCCCCTTCCTCAAACTCCCTTTGCCCCCATCCAGAAGATTAATTACACCAGGTAGATGACAATGTCATATGAAAGTCTGAACCTAAATTTTAGATACCCCGAAGCTTAAGCAAAATTTCCATCTAAGCACTGGCAACTTAAGGAGTCAACTCTGTGCAGCACTGAGTTTTGTGGCGACACCCAGCAGCACTCAAGACTTACTCCTGGCTCTGTGCTCAGGGACCAGAATTTCTGGCAGAGCTCAGAGACCATCTGGGGTGCCAGGGATTGAACTGGGGTTGGATGTATGCAGGGCAAGTGCCTGACCCATGTACTCTTTGTACAGAATTTATAAAGAAATACTTCACACCATGGGACAGTAAAGAACTATCTTCTGTGTGGCAATGTCATTGAGGTACATCCTTCAACAGTTAAGCAAAACCACAACAGGATAAATGAGTCTATTTTCCTGCTACCTTAAGGAAACAGAATCGCTCGAGTAGGTCATTCTGGGCACTACAACTTTTAAGTGACTTAAGTGCAACATTCAGGTCTCCCAAAGAATAGAAAGAGCTATGCTTGGAGTATCACGTTTCACTCAAATGAGAGAAAGAATCCGGAGTTCCGACATCCATCGACGATCAAGAATCAGGGACACTGTCTCATTTGCCAAGGTGTGAAAAATCAGATGGGCTGGTCACGTAATGAGATTTAAAGATGACCGCTGGACTAGAGCTGTTACTGACTGGATTCCACGGGATGTCAAAAGACCGCGTGGCCGCCCACCTACCAGATGGTCAGACTTCTTTGTCAAGATCATGAACGATCGGTTTGAGGCTCTTCATGTTCCCAGAGCGAACAGATGCCATTGGGCTACACTAGCACGCGACAGGGACAAATGGAGACATTACTGGCGCCCACTCGAGCAAATCGGCGACTAACGGGAAGTTAAGTGATTAAGTGCAACATGATAACAATTGCTAGCACGGGAAGGACTTGGACTGTAGCAGCTATAGATCTACAGAGGTGGACAGGAGTCCTCGTCTTCAAATTTAGATTTCCAAACTGATAACTAGGCTTTCAAACGAAATGGATGGCATTCTGTCCTTATTCAACCTATTAAAAATATATATATATATATATGTATACCTCAAGGCTTGCTCTTCAAGCCCATGTTATTCTCTGAATACATAACGTGCTTGTCTCTGGGTTTTTGCACTCTGGAGAAGTTTGTGTTCTCTTTTGAACACGTCCTTCTGACTTTCCCTTCCCTCATAATTTTCTAAGTTTCAATAAAAACTGTCTTGCTTCACCAAAACAAAAATCAGAAACACACACACACACACACACACACACACACACACACACATTCGCACACACACTCTCTCTCCTTTGGAAACAATGGCATCTTGCATCTCTCTTTTCTCATCACTGCCAGGCTTGCTTAGGTGTCTGGAATCCCTCAGCAGGCCTGATTCCCAACAGGGAGGCAACACAACCTGCTCCCATGGAGTGGTGAGACTGCCCAAGGCTGCCCGGAGACCCGCAAGAACAAGCGCTGAAAGGGAAGTGATGGGACTGTTCTTGCAGCGAATCACGAAGGGCCTCTCTGATGCGATGACAGGGAAGTGAATGACCTGAAAGACAGCAGGCCACGAGGAGCTCGAGACAAGACCCTTCTAGAAGGAAAGAACCGGAAACCCAAAGGCCGGATGAGGGCCAAGTGCTTGGGGTTTGAGGAATTTCAGGGACAGCAGAAAAACAGTGAGGGCCGGAGATAACAGAAATCAGAACAGGGAAGGTAGAGCAGCTCAGGGTTTTACTCTCTGAGAGATGCTGAGCAGCCACTGGAGAGGTTTCCGACAGATGAAAGAAACAGCCTGGGCTGAAATTTACTTAATGTAGCAGTAACTCGGAACGAGAGCAGCCAAGTGGACCAGGTGGGCCGACGCAGGCAATGATGGGAGGAAGGAGATTAGCCAGGAAGATGCTACACGGTGCCCAG